TTAGGAGATTTTGCCCCAGCATTATTGGAAGTTTCTTTTGGAACGATATTCCACAATCCATTAGAGACAAACCATCTAAAAAAATGTTTAGAAAAGCACTTTTACTCTGGTACCTGGTTCAATACTAATGAACCAATATCTCTTTTATAACTTTCTGAGCTATTTTGTCATTTTTCCTTTACTTTTTTATTAATAATCTTAAGTCCTTTGTTATACATAACTTTAAGGGGCCCAATATTAGTTTATCTAGATGTGCCCCTCTCCTCTCCTTCCAATATACAATGTAATTCAATTTAAGTGTTGTAATTTCTATTTTACGCGTTTTTTCCTTTGTAAATCTTTATCTGTTACTATATTACTTTTTTCACGATATATTTACATAACTATGTATCAGCTAGGAATTGGAGGAATAAATAAAATAAAAATATATATATATATATCTTGGTACTAATGTACATCGACGCTACCTTGCAGCCTACGAGATTGCTAACGTATTTACTAAAAAGGCTGCACTTGCACTTCCTCCGTTCCATGCATTCACAGGATGTGACAAGGTGAATACTTCCGGTCACCTCTAGAAATAATCGGAGTTCTTCTTTGCGATAGAAGTGGTTCTTTACCGTCAACTGACGAAGCCAAAAGTAGTTTCTTTGACCCGGCCTGCATTACTTAACCATTTCAAGGGCACGGCGAACGATTCTGGCCACAAATGGAGTCAGCAGGCACTGGTACCAAGCATCTCGGTTCCTAGTCTGCAAGACTGGGGCTGGATATCTCTAACAGGAGAGTGGCGACTCTCCTGCACACCACTGTCAGAAATTACAAAGTTGAGGGTGGAACTAATCAAGTACGCTCGTAAGAAGGGCTGTGCCCAGAAGGGTGACAATCGTGAAAGGCAATCCCCAACTCTTTTTTCGATTACAAGCACTCGTCTACATGGAGTATCAAGTCATTAGGTCACCGAGATATCATCTGTTCTTCTTCGATATTCTGTATCATAGCCAAAGTAGGCTCAAGTTTAGTATTGGATAATATATGATGAAAATAGTAAATTGAGTGTATACATATTAAAGTAAAGAAAATTAGCAGGCACAACAGAAGTTTAAGCTCATTCCTTAAAAAGTTCCCACTCTGGTAGTTTTACTTTCGGTCTAGCTGGCGACCACTTATATCATCTCTATTCTACTTTTTTAGACAATTTGCGTTGAAACTGCCTTAACATTTACTAACATTTTCTTATCCAAGTTGCTAAAATTCAGACGTTTTAAAGAAAATGTTAATTTCACTTCTGGTTCAAAATGGCCGCCATTTTAAAACTCTTATTTTTCGCACTTAACGGACTTTTTGGCGATGGTACCATATCCTATCTTTTTTAGGGCCTTGAAAACTATCATCATGCCAAATTTCATGCTTTTAATAGAAAGTGAACAATTGAAGCACATATCTGCTCTACTATTGGTCCCTGCCTTTCTTCCCACCATTTAGCTGACTCCCTATAAGACAGACATCTCTCTAAGACAGAAAAATAGTTTGGATCCCACAGGTATCTGTTTCAGAGGGAACTACATGCAACTGTATTACATTGTGCAGATGGCCAGTTCAGAATTTTGTTACATAGTTGCTGCTGTAGTACTTGTGTTCCAATTTACATGTAATAATATAATCACTAAATGTAAATAGAGTCTTATGGTATATATTCAGCTACTTCAATAATTATTATTATTCATGCTGGTCCGATTTAAGCCTCACGCCTAGGCAAGAAGACTGCAACGTTGTGTGTGGGAAGCTGTAAAAATAATATCCCTTAAAATTTGTTCATAAACTTCATGGTCGTCAGTACCATAAAAAACCGCACAAACCTTTACCTTTGTGGTTTTATATCAGTAGAATGATGAACTGTGGCTGAGTTTGGGAATGCTTTGATGAAATAATTCATACTGCTTCACAGTCTCATTCTAAGGCTTTATTTCCAACAACACTAATATTGAAACAGCGGCATGTACATCACAAAAATTGCTATGACCTGCCCAACCTGCTTTTCGAAGATAAATCTAATATGGACTAAGCTATATATGTATGGACCACAACAATTAATGCCATTTTGTAGCTTTTGGTGTGCATTACTCAAAACTATAGAGTAAGGACAGTGGCCCTCCACCCCCCTGACAAGGTTCTAGAACTTGAAAGGTCAGCCTTGGAATACTTACAAACTATTAACAGTCCGCTATTTTTTCATAAGATCATCGAGATCAAGTGGTCACCATCGCTGGCAGCCATTGCCCTCGGTTTTGGCGTTTATAATGGCAGGGGAAGGGGGCAAGAAAAATACAGGACTTGCCTCCTCCCAATCTGTGCCCTGCTCCCTAAGTAGATGAGCTAGTTATCTTCAAGGTAGACTCCTTCAAGATGGCCACCTGTAGCTCTGATTACACAATCTCTCACCAGATGGCGCTTATAACTCCCTATCGTAACCGTTATGAGCAGCTCTTAATCGTTGTTCGTCACATGCACCCTATGCTTAAAAGGAAAAATTTAGAGTACAGGATTTTTTGTGATAGAGCAGGTATGTTTTTAAACTTAACTGTATCATGGACAACCCTCCAAGTTTTTTTGGTCACCGTTTGGCAACCAACTCTTTTGGTTTAGAGAGACTTTTTCAATAAATCAAGTCGCCGGCTCCAAAAATTTTGATGCCGTGGTGACCAAAATGGCCACAACTTGGAGGGTTGCAGTAGTATAGAAACAAATGCACTAGGATCTCAAATTTATAAAAGGTAATTTGACTACTGTATTCTTCCATAAGATCATCAAAAATTGCAGTTTTAACATCATGTTCTTGATTTCAGGCTGGCAGATAGTCTACAACGCAAAACTGATTTAATGAATATCAAGTTGATAGTGATTAATCCATGCTCTCACCATAGAATAGTAGGATCACCAAAAGTATTGTTTGCTGACTTTTTTACCTGTTCAAAATTAATTCTTCTTACGCAAACCTGGAGTTTCAATAAGTACCAACGACCAACAAAAAACATTGGCTACTTTATTCTGACAGCTACTTTTCAACAAAAAAAAGACCATAATAAAAAAGTATCGTAAAATCTGAATGACAACCTATTTTTAAACCTTTTAGTCCCAATAGTGACCAACATGAATTTTCTCCTAACAATATCCATATGTTGTCAAGAGAAATGGTTATGAGAATTAATCAAATGATCCCCAAAGAGAACATGCTTTGTTCTTTTATTAAACACCCTCAATTTATCTCTAGTGAATGTATAAATATCAGTCTGGAGAATTTGTATGTGGATATTGGGGCTTAACGGGAAAGCACGCCCCCAGACGTTTCAAAATAACACCCCTGCCAACTCTATTTGAAAAGGAAGCAGTATATCTGTAAAAAATGTTCATGTTTTTGTTCCTATTGTTCTCTGTGCTGTTACTACGCTCATTTTTCAGATCAAAAGAATTATTTCAAGTGAAAAATGGTTTAACTACGTTGTTACTTTTTGTTTTTTTTGAAAATGCCAAAAATTTGGTTCGGTTGGACGATGCTTAACGGAGGAAAAAAAGAGGATGGCCTAAGTAGTTTTAAAAAATATGCAGGTTGTGATCCCATCGATATCCGATCCGATCAAGGAAATGAATGAATATATTGAAAAGTACTAAAGTATACAAAGCTTTTCTTTTCATGGGCCATGCATTTTGGAAAGAAAACATTGAAGACGGAGTAAAATTATTGGAATCAAACGTTTTAAATTGTTTTCTATACAATAACAACGGATAACAAGATAACAACGGCCAATTTATGTAAAATATAGTTCTTGAAATGAGGGAATGACATTTCAAAGAACTTAGCTCCTCTCAGGGTGGGACCATGTCCCTCACTCCACTACCCCCTCCCCCATGAGAAAGTGCATCTCTGGGGCATATTTCTTGCCTCACCTTATGAATGGTCCCCTACCTACTGAGCTAAAATTTAGGGAGAACACTGGAAGCGGGAGCTCGTTTCCCAAACAGAGGCAGGTAATGTGGCCTCCACAGTGTGTTCCAATAAAAATAATATAAGTTCTGTTAAATTGTTTTTACAGTAAGTCCTCCCACATATACATGTAAGTTTCTCTGCCCTTTCTTATTCAGGACTGGAAAAACGTGGGTTGTCCAATACTTACCACTTGGATCTTCAAGTCATGAATGTCATGTTATGTGTGTTTCATATGAGTGGTTAGGTGGTGAGATTAGTCTCTGAATTCATGTGATTGGTACTAGTGGTGAATCACTGAGGGATATTTCAGTGTGATTACTGGTATATGAGTTATCACATAGTTCAACTGCATCCCAGTTAACCTCAATCTCATCTGCAATTAATTGGTGAAATTGCATCTCATTAGGTGAATACATGTATCATGTATTAAAGTTGTCATGAGAGGGGGTCCTGTTGAATCGTACTACTCGTGCAAGTCATGAAACTGGTGAAATGTCGTATCTCATTAGAGACACTTAGAATTTGTGAGCAAATAATAACAAATGCTGTAGTTGTATGTCAAGTGCAATGAAATAATACTTGGCGCCACCATTTTGAAATTATGAAAATGGCCTTAATTTTCCATCCCTTTCTTCTATTTTCCTTTGAAACTAGCCAGGGTCAACTTGGGTAGACAACGAGTTACACAGGGGCCATGTTTAGAGTAGCTGGGGGAAATTCCCAGCTCCTGCCTCTTAATGACAGCCCTTCTCATCTTAAAAGGCCCCTCATGTGAGGTTTTCCTACCATATACAGCTATTTCGAGAAATGTTGTCGGAAGAAGTGCACGCGACAATCCCGAAAGGTATTGTAGATGGTTTTGAGTTCACTGTTCTTCAAAGAAATTTGAAAGGATAGCAGAGAGACCATGGACATAATATTATGTTTGCGAATGCTAAAGGAAAGCAACAAAAGTAGGTTCCACAGCCACTGTATATGCATTAATTACACCTTATATGTCACTGATGCAACAACTCTATATTACAGGGGCCCTGAAGGGACACCATTTGAAGGGGGTGTATTCACCACAAGACTTGTATTTCCCCCTGACTACCCTCTTAGCCCACCCAAGATGAGATTTACCTGTGAAATGTTTCACCCCAACGGTAAGTGAAAACAAAAACACTCTTAAGAGGATGAAGTCTAGCTTGCTTGGAGATTATTCCTCAAGATATTTACTTTTGTATATGGTATTTAACTATTTGTTTCTGAATTTGCTGAGTATGGGTGTATAAAATCAAGGGCCTCGATTTGAGAGAAATGACATCATTGTCAAAGAGCAAAAACATAGCATATCATTTCAATCATTGCCAAAAATAACCACCGCATGCTCATCACAAGACTCATTTGCAGACAATGAAAGTAGTGTCTTCACTGTTATTTAGTCCATCTATATAATATTATAAATCTTGTCTTGTAATATGTCTTCGGCTCCCCCCGCCTCGATTAGTTTATAAGCTATTTGCGGGTAGGAAAGTAATGTAATTAGTTATTTTCCAATTTTCAATCAAATTTGTTGTTGTAGTTGTTGTTTATACAACACTCGACCAGTTAGCCTCACCATGAAAGTTTGGCTCATTAAGATTCTTCGCCACCACTGAAGTATTCACTTGTTCCAAAGTAATCAATGCTTTCAAGCGATAGAATTCCTTTAACCCATTCGCCCCTGAACCGCCCGTAACCGCCCGTGTGGATCCAGGTCCTTTCTACCCCTTGTGACGTCATCAGTTTTAACGGTCAAGGACAACTTTCTTCGCTAACTTGTGCAGAGTGAAGAGATCTTTCAAACCATACCAGAATGAGCACGATTCAGTCAAGGACACCGGAGAAAGAAGCAAAAAACCACGTGATATTGACTTGAAAATCTGCATGAAAATTTTGTTCCCTTGCTCACCTACCTTTCCTTTCACCTAATCCTAAGATCCTAAAAGCTTTCCTAAAAACTCTTCCCACCAAAATCAAGCCTACTAAATGCCCAGCAAGAGAAAAAAAAGTGAGGCAAGAAAAGCGAAAAAAGAAGGGCGGAGAAATTTTGCTTTCTGCGCATGCCCGAACTTCGCAAGCTGATATTTTGCATCTGGATCAGAAGGCCGCGAAGTGTACGACCTGTAAACCGGTTTGTGGTAAGTTTTAGCTCTTTATAGCACGACAGTGACCAGAAAACCACTAGACTAGCTTCAAAACGCGTTTTTCGGCAAAATCTCCAGGAGCGAATGGGTTAATGACTTAGGGTGATAGCCGACCTCCAGGAGCGTAGCGCGATACCTAAGAAAATGTGGTAATGTACCCATCCGAGAAATTCTGATAATCACGTGATCGCGCATGTCCTTCCGTCTGCACCACAGGCATACCAATGTAAAATAACTCAGTCAACAGGTACATGTATGGCAACCCAAATGCAACTCAAGGTTATTTTGGCGGGAAATCACATAGCCATCCGTGTCTCATGAAACAGAGACAACTGTATCTGTGTTGTGCAAAGTATTAAGCTTAGATTAATTGTCATGTCCACAATTTGGAACACAGAGAAAGAGAAAGTACATGTACACATCTAGGCGACAGGCCAGTGAAGCTCAATGAGAAAAAGAGTGAAAGAGAGCTAGAGCGAGAGATGAAAAACAGAGCCGACTTTCTTTGTTGGAAGGACAACATGAAAAATTTGTAGCGGCATTGAGGAAATGAGAAATATCAGTGACCAAAGGTGAAAATGAGCGGCAGTGAAAAAAAAGTGAACAAGAACACGTACGACATTTCCATCATACATGTAAAATGTGTAACCAGGAAGTTTCTGGAAGTTTCACCTTGTAGTCATGCAAAACAGTGGCAAAGAAATGTACAAAAAAAGTGTGCTGCACCTGCAAAGTTGCTTTTTTGCTAATTAGACCAATTGTTGTTTTTTCACCGTTCTCGTTGCCTTCGCTGCTTAGCATTACATGATTTTATATTTTGTTTGAGCCAGCTATAAATATTATCAAGAGCTTTTTGCTTTTATCTCTGGCTAAATCTATATTATTGTTGTCAGTGATCTAAGAAAATAATGATTTTGAAATAAGCACTGCCCCTGAATGAGCACCACATTGAAGATGCTAGCTAAAATTTGAGAAAATAGATGCTGTGGTACATTATGTATTTGAGGGAAAAAATATACAAAACTAGGCCATGGAAACCTTATAAAACTGTAATTCTCAAACTCATTAATTAATCATGCAAACAAAAGTCAATAAATGACAACCATTTGGGTCAGGTGGACGAATCTCAACACCTAATGAAACACCCAAAAAAACACCACCATGTTTTTATCTGAGATGAAACATGTTTTTCATCTGAAATCAAACACTTGCATTTTAATCAGACACTTTATTGATTAACACAACTCATATAACAATACTTTGTAAAAACTATGTTTACGTTATCATGCTCTTTACTCCTTATTGTACCCAGATGGCAGAGTTTGTATCTCCATACTTCATGCACCTGGAGATGATTCTATGGGATACGAGAGCAGTGCTGAGAGATGGAGTCCTGTGCAGTCAGTTGAAAAAATTCTTTTGTCCGTTGTCAGTATGCTCGCAGGTACAAAATTAATCCATCACACATACATGTTTATTACCTCTAACTTGCTCTAAAATCTTGATTTATTTTGTGATAAAAATTTATGCATAATAAAATTCAGATAGAATACCCACACCCTGTAACTTACAGCTCTAGCCGCTTTTTAAGAACAAGAGGGACCACAATAGGGTACTTTAATCCTGTCATCCCGAAACACATTTTTGCTCAACCCGTAATCCCGATGGGTATTTCCAGCATCTCGCATCCCATGCATACTCTGAATCCTGAATCTCACCCCCAGTAGGCCTTACAATCCTGAATCCCGGCCTTCAAATAGGGCAAATCAAGGCTTCTTTATTTGTCAAATGACAATCTTCTCAGCTCCAAGTAGTTTATTTTAGGACCCTGTGAGACTCATTTTACATGCAATCTGCCTAAACCTTTATTTTTCTGTTCTTCTATATTTTTTCAACAGAACCAAATGATGAAAGTGGTGCAAATGTAGATGCGTCAGTGAGTATTAATCCTAAGCACTAAGACAAGATAAAATTTCTCTACAAAGAAAAGATGTGATCAGACAAAAAATAATAACATCTCAACAAAAGCCTAATTTTCATCCTTCATAGCCACTTGAGGTTTATTGCACATCCCAAAAACTGATTGGCTTAAGTTCCCCCCTCCCCCTCCTTGGCAAATTCTTCATAACTAGCTACATGTCATACTGTGAACTAAATTTGGAAAGCGTTTGCCAATAACTGCAAAGATGACCCCTTAATTCACCATTTTCACATAGACCTATTATGCACCTTGCTTAACCCTTTAAGCCCTAATATACAGGTAATAATGCTCTAAAGTGATCTACGTGCACATTTCCTTAAGAGTTAGTGGAGAGAATTTAATGAAAGATCAAGCCATTTTCTCATCATTTTATCAGTTCTCCTAACCTTATCTCTTGAAAATGTATGGATAATGTTAGGAGAAAATTGATGTTGGTCACTATTGGGACTTAAAGGGTTAAAAGTGCATCACCATCATTTCCAATTTCTCCTGGGTATTACAGTTGTCCCATGAGAAATCAAAAGGGCAAGGCTTGAACCCCAGACATCCAGATCCGGTGCTCAAGGTATTAACCACTCAGCCAGACATGCCTCCACATTTTTATTTTGACGTCACATGTTATTGGAAAGTGCAGGAATGTTTGCAAGGAAATTGCTGGTAGATTACAAAAAACAGCTTGTAACAAACAAATGTCTCCTGGGTGTGTATTTACCTGTGAAGTCTTGGACAGACAAACAAAAAAAAAAACAAATTCGGTTTTCCTGGAAATAATATTATTTGCATCAATATTTGAAATTTGTGCTCAGAGTTAATATATTGTTTTCTTACATTGTTATCTTTCTGTAATCTGATTGTTCAACTTTGTGTTATTCCCCCTGGTTGCAGTCGTCACACTGTAAGTGAATAGTCCCTAAGGTAATTTTAACATGAGTGAGTTCAATTTACAACCAGTCATAGTACCCAAAAGTTTAATGACTTCGCCCCACCAAAACATCTCTTGCCCACCCCCCAGGTTCTTACGGTACATGTAGGCGGGCAATTCAGTGGACGACCCCCCCTCCCCCCTCCAAATCTCACCTCACTTCAGGTTGTTGCTTCTTGCTATCAAAGAGAAGAGAAATAGCTGAATCATCACAAATGCATTAAAACTTACTGAGTGTTTTTGTTCTCTTTCTTCAGAAAATGTGGAGGGAAAATCGCAACAAGTTCAATGAAATAGCCAAAGAGATTTCCAAAAAATCACTAGGTCTTTAATTATCTTTAAAACATATCTTATAACAATCAACTCATCTGAATCAACACTGGTAATTTAGAAAATAATATTTATACATCAAATAACGACGTTGTAAATCTTTCCAAAATGACAAAGTCCAAGCGGGGATATTTTTATTAATTTAAATCAACCACTTTTTGGATCTCTTGATTTCATGTCACAAACTAAGCAAGATTTCAAACATTATCTAAGAGTCATCCTGGCTTAACATTTACCACTACCCCTAATATTTTAAAGAGGGGACGAGAGCCTAAAAACGTTCACAAATAATTTGTAATATTACAGTGGAACCTCGATATAACAATTAAAGGGCCAAGGGACTGGTAAAATGTTTCCGCTATAATAAGGTTTTGTTATAACGAGATTCTTTTCGATATATTTGACTATTACTGGGGTAAAGAAAATTGTTCGTTATACCGAGGAGTTCGTTAAATAAAGGTTCGTTATATCAAGGCTCCACTGTACCATAATTTTATTTACTTGCTTCATCAAATAAATAGGTAAACAATATAGATCTCTGTACTACATGTACAACAATATGATATCATTTCTGTGAACTCTCAACAGCAGAAATACTTGTCAAATGTTACTGAGTTGTAAAGAAAAAGCCAATCAGTGTACAGTGTGTACAAGTAACAGTGGTAATTAGTTTTCGGTTCTGCTGCTTGCTTGTGTTTCATGAACATTTAACAATAATATAATTATAGTCACAACACAATAAACATCCCTGACAGTCATATTTCAGGTGTTCAGTTTTCTGAGTTTGAGAAAAACGGATATCAGGAAATTTTGGATCAAATTTATTAACTGAAGTTATCGTTACGTTTTTCTTTTCAAACTTTGTGCATTAAAACTGGGTTCAAAAACATCACTTTCATGTTTCTTGGATTTGACCTTATTGCAATAACATTGTCCAATAAAGAAGGCAAAATTAATGCAGAAGGCCAAAATTAATGGGAATTAATTAGGCATATCAACTACTATTTTTGAAAGTTACAAATACGAGAAACTGATGGGATTTACATGAGACTTAATGGAACCAAGTCTTGAAAGCCATGAATTGCGTAAGCCAAGCTAATAATTCCTACTTGCCTTTCCATTTTTTAAAATTCAAAACCTGTCGTTTCACGTTATTGAGGAGGAAGCCATGTCACTGTTGATATTTCGCTGTTGTATTTGCGCTTTTCCCTGTCGCTGTCGCAGTCTCAACCCATCTTTGTGTCATCTGTCGCCATTTCGATTCTGCTGCCCTATGTCGCTGTTTCAAGGCCATGTCGCTTGTCGAAATTTACCTTAACGTATTCCCTTACAGGGCCTCAACTGTGTGACTGCAATTACATGTAGGTGCTGGGATGCGAGAGGCAAAGGTTGCTGGCCGTGTAGGGAGAGGCTTGAGGCCCTCACAGTTTTGACCAAAATTAAATACTGTACTACAAGGAGGAGAATCCTTTTAGCCGACAACAAACCAGCCATTGTCCAATAAGTGTTTAAAGGTTCTAGAGGCTTCAAAATATATTGATAGACACACAACTGCTATTTTTCAGTTAATTGTAAATTAGAAAAAAATATCAAATATTTTTAAAAGTGTCTTTTGTTACAGTACCCTCAAGAATCTTGTTAGGTAAATATCTGATAAAATTACATGTATAATAAATACATTTTGATAATACCTAACTGTACAAATAGAAATGGCTCACTGATGGCAAATTTAATGTTTCTCCTTACTCTGTCTTGGGTAAAAGAAATATTACGGGACAGCTTCTAAGTTGAAGAAAAAGAAGGGAAAACTTGTTATCTAAATTACCGTAAAATTCTGAAAATAAGCCCCTCCATGTATAAGCACTTCCAAATATGCATTATAAGCCCCCCAAAAACGTAATGCAAAAAACCCCCCGTTAAATCACCCCTCCAAATATAAGCCCCCCAGGGGGCTTGTACTTGGAATTTGCCGTCGAATACAGAGTAAAACAAAGCAAAAATGGTAACTTTCCTTCCCACTACACGGCTAGCCCAATCGATTTTGAAACACAAATTTCCCTCCGTACATGCATAAGCCCCTCCAAATATAAGCCCCTTCAAAAATAAGCCCCTCAGAAAGGGCCTTTGAAAAATATAAGCCCTGGGGATAATTTTCGGAATTTTACGGTAGGTTGTATTAGGATGCTTCGGGCTGTATTTTTTGAAGAGGACGAAATAAACTAGAAGGTGTGAAAACTAACCTTCTTTTAAAGTACTTGTTTCCATCATTGTCATTACTGTCCTTGATATAGTCAAACCCCCCTGATTTGGAAACCAAAGGGACAGAGCCAAATGTCCTCTGTACAGAGGTGTCACCTGGGGCAAAGACACCCTGCCAGAAAAGCTTTTCTAATCACTGGTTTGATTTTTGCCTACTCTAGAAAGACCCTGCATGAATGAAAACGATGCCCTAGATGTTACTGGGGGACAGTCTCCGATCCAGGTCTAATACCTGTGACTTGGTACAGTTGACCAAGACCAAATGCCTGCAGTCAAAAACCAGTCTGATGAGAAAAAACAAGGTTACAGTCAAGCCGGGTCAAGTGTACCCCCAAAAGATTCCATAAGTGAATTTATTATTCCAAAGATAAATTTGGTGGTAGTTGTAGATTTTAGATTCAACTCTGCATTCTTGCATGCGTAATGAGCCGTGAATTTACACGCCACACAGTTAGGAAATTTCTACCAGCTCAGTTTCCCTGCATTTGATGTAAAATGCCTTCTAAGAAATTTCATCCATTCAAAGATATTCAATCTGACCAAATACAGAGAAGTTCTTGTAAAATATTCACTGCTCATTTTACAGGAATAAACAGGAATGCTGATTTGCATTGTAATTGACACTAGCCTGCGTGGCAGGCGTTTGAAAGGGAGGGGAAAGGGAGTTTCTCTCGTGCCTAAAACTCCCTTTCCCAAAACTCCCTTTCCCTTCCCTTTTAAAACGCCTGCCACGCAGGCTAAATTGACACTAGTTATGGGAACGACTATTGGATTCAATTTTCAAATAATCAATTCATTAATAGAATCTTGCAGGGTACATTTGACCTATCGTGACTGTAACTAGTTCAGAAGTTCACGCTGCAGAGACTTCAAAGGCTTGACACGATTTATACAAAGCCTCCTTTTCTCTTCCTTGATCAAGACAGAAGACAAAAGAAGCCTCTGCTTGCAGGGTTAAACCAAGAGAACTGTGGTTATTGAAAACTGAACAATTGGATAATGCTATTCTAGAGCTCTGATTGGCTAAGCCATCATGGTATATGAGCCATGCTCTCCAAAAGTGGTAATGTAAGCATCTACTCAAAATTAAAGACAAGCTAAAAATTGGATATAAATAAAGTCTGAAAGAATTCTCGAAATTATTTTGTGGGCGTTTTTAATAAAACAATTTATTATTCCACTTGCGCTTGTTAAACATGAGATGATTATAGCCAACTCGGCGTATTCTACAATCTCATATCTAATGCGCACTAATGCAATAATTGTTAAATAATAGGGTGGCGTCCACAAGAAGGAGGTTTGACCGTATGTACTGGTACAGTAGTGATGTATTGTGAAAAAGGAACAAGAACCTTGCCTGCAGTAGAGGGAACATAATGAATTATTACAAACTAGTAACAAGGCTTGTAAAATTGTCTTCGTTCAGCGGAATAGCCACAAGTCTTTCATCTTGCACCGCCATCTATGCTTTTTCCGCGATTTCAAATTTCCGCCGAACAAAATGTTTAAATGCTCACGTTCGAACAGCCTTTCTTACAATTATGACTATGATTGCACGGTTCACACGTACAACATAACGCCATAATCAAGGCCTAAGGCGAAAGCTAAGGCCCAAGGCAAACGTCGAACTAATGTCGATCTTAATTCACTCGCACACAACAATTTCAATTGTCATTTTGCATTGAAATGCACGGGAGCATGCACATTTGTTTGTCTTTTTGCGGCTGAGTGCATACACTTGCAAGAGCGAATATAAATACTGCTCTCGACGGGCATTTCTGTGGAATGCTTTACTCCAAAACAGAAAACGGAGAACGGCAATACACGCCGCACTCAGTAGGAGAAGATACAGTTGCAAGCCCCGTTATTAGCCAATCTTCTAATTGTTTCATACCAGGGAAGTGTGGGCGGTTTGAAGAGACGAGGTCTGGGATAGAGAAACGAAGTTCTCACAACTTGCAAAGCGGTCACCCTGCGTAATGGTCAGCGGATAATTGCAGTATTTTTCCCACAGAAAATATTTTTAGACGTTTTAGAAGGAAGAAGCGAACCGGCAGAGGAAATCAGAAATGCTTTAAAAATTGAAAAAATAATATAATCCATCTTGGTTTTACTAACAGACAGAATTGACAAATAATATGGTGTTTGCAAGCACTTTCCACTTCTTAATAGGATATGAAAGTGTGGTTTGTATTCTAGCATCGATTCTCCGCTCTTTTTAAACAAAAACAAAACAAACTGAAACTGCCGGCTATTTAGTGTTTTGTAAACCTTGGCCGGCAGTTTCAAGTATAGTATGCCCAGGTTTAAATAACAGACAGAATTGACAAATTATATGTCTTTGCAAGCACTTGCCACTTTCTTTTAAACAAACGAACAAACAAACAAACAAAAAGATTCCATGTACTTCATGTTTACCTCAAGCCCGGACAAACTAACTGGCTCAAAAATTACCTCCAAAATCTCTTTTACTTATTAAATGAGATATCGCATATTGTCACGTTCACATTCAATCAATCAATCAATCAATCAATCAATCAACTTTATTTAAACACGGTAAATGGCTCAGCGAGCTGGTTTTCAGACATGCCGTGTGATAATTACAATTTATAAAAATTAAGACTAGTGATTAACTAACAATACAATATAACAGCAAGAAATAAGTATTAGAAATAAGATAAAAACATGATAAAAGTTATATCCTAAGATATGGCGAGTTTAAAGCTAGTAAGATCCCCCATCT